ATAGTAATACCTTATCTCAAAAAAAAAAAAAAAAAAAGAAAGAAAGAAAAAAACGAAAGAGAGAAAGAAAGAAAGAAAGAAAACTACCCCTTAAAAGCAGTATAGTCCTGTGGTGTTTAGTGTATAAACAGAGTAGTAAATGACAATTACCTATTTTTACAACATTTTTATTACCCCTAAAAATGACTTTGTGGTCATTAGTAATTATGATACTTCCTGTAAGTAGAGTTACATGACATGTGGGCTTTGTGCCTGCCATCTTTCCCTTAACACATTTCCAGGTCCCTTCATGTACCATGTGCTTCTCTGCTATTTCTCTTCTTTTCTTTTTTTAAAAAATTTTTTTTTTTTTAGTGTATATGAGTGACCTGTCTTCAGGGACACCAGAAGAGGGCATCAGATCCCATTATAGGTGGTTGATGAGCCACCATGTGGTTGCTGGGAATTGAACTCAGGACCTCTGGAAGAGCAGTCAGTGCTTTTCCCTGCTGAGCCATCTCTCCAGCCCTCTGCTCTTTCTTATGATTGAAGGATATTCTGCTGCCTTTGTTTATCTGTTTGTCAGCTGGTGGACATTTGGGCTGCTCTCATCTTTTGACTTGCATGAATAACATTGTTATGGACACAGATTTTCAAAACCAATGTCCTTCCTTGGTTTTCGTGGTCTTGCATCATTTGGAAACAACCTTGCTGTTTGCTAGACCAATTGGCTGACCACATCCCATGGGCTCCTCTCAGGATGAAGCTATTGGGTCTGTGAGAACATAGACAATCGAGCTTTGGTGGACGAAGCTCTGGTCTTGGTCCCCAACAGCTAAGTACACCAGTTACCAGAAGAGTATCACCTGCCAAGGGAGACAAATGCAGCATTGTTTACACAGCTCAGGGGAGGCATTGGTCTCTTTCGTTTATTTATTTGTGTGTGTGTGTGTCCATGGGACATGTGTACCCTGGACATGTGGAGGTCAGAGGACAGGTTGCAGGAGTAGGTTCTCTCATCTTACTCTGCGGAGTCTGGAGATTGAACTCGGGTTGTTAAGCTCGACAGCGGCACCATTGTCTGGTCAGCTGCCTTGCTGACACCCTCGGAGGCATTGTTTTAAGCGGTCCGACTTTCAGCCACAATGACAGCCGGGAAAGAGGACAAAGGACATACTCTTTTCGGGATATGCAAAAGTCCAATGGGTGAGATGGTCCAGCGGGTAAAGCGCTTGCCCTGCAAGCCTGCTGATGTGAGTTCGATCCCCGGAACCCACAGGAAGATGGGAGGAGAGAACCGACTTCACAGGGTTGTCTTCTGACCTCTGCATGCACACGCCACGGCACACGTGCCCACACGTCATCCACAGACACAATCGTGAAGTGTTTAAAAAAAAGTGTAAAGATATCCACAAGGCTCCTGTGATCAGTTCCTGATTGGCCTTGCGCAAGCGCTTCATGATTCTCCTGCCTCTCGGAGAAACAAAAGCCCTGGTTCTCTTACTTTCTAGAAAGCCATCACACCTAGAAAGCCGCCATACCTAGAAAGAGTTTCCGTGTGAAGACCTGGCCACCATCCAGGCGGAGTGGGATGTGTCTGTAGCCTAGTTTCTTGGGAGACTGGAGTAAGAGAACGGCTTGAATTCAGGAATTAGGTCAGCCAACAAAACAAAACAAAACCAAGAAAAAACCCCAAAACAAAAACAACAACCCATTGACCATTTTCCCAGTTGGAAGCCTCGTGTGTGCAAACACACTTGCTTCGTCTACAGACCCAGGTCTGTTGGCACACCATGCTCAAGGGGTCCTGTCACTAGCTTTGTGCTGGAGCTTCAGATTCTTAGGGACATTTCATGAAGGCTCTGTGACAGAATCGCTGGTGCTGTGTTCTGCTGACCGCTTGCTTTGAAAGGGGATGGGTTTCCTGCTGGGTTTGCACACTCCGAAAGAAAAAGTTAGCCTTGACCTTGAATCAAGGAAATCCATCCAGACACTGCTCTATCACACACTCCATGAGGGAAACCCTTAGCTCAGTGCTGGAGCACGAGGAGCATAAGGCCCCGAGTGTGCACCTCAGCAACCCCTTTCAAAAAAAAGAGCCTGAAGCCGGGCAGTGGTGGCGCACGCCTTTAATCCCAGCACTCACGAGGCAGAGACAGGTGGATCTCTGTAAGTTTGAGGCCAGCCTGGTCTACAAAGTGAGTTCAAGGACAGCTAGGGCTGTTTGTTACACAGAGAAACCCCCATCTCAAAAAAAAAAAAAAAAAAAAAAAAAAAAAAAAAAAAAAAAAAAGAGCCTGATGGGCTTGGGAAGTCGCTCAGCTGTTTGCCTAGCATGGCCAAAGCCATGACTCTGGGTTTAACCCTCAGCACTGTGCAAGCCAGGCATGGTGGCTCACATATGAGGTCCCAACATTTGGGAGGTGGAGATGGGAAGATCAGAATGTTGTACGTTTAAGGCCAGCCCGGGATACATGACACCAACCCCACCTCAAAACCCAGAACCCAAGCAACCAACCCTGTGGTGGCTTAGATCTCCACAGGTTGCTGAACTCCTCTGGCAGTTCATTCTCCTCCCCGAGGCAGCCCCAAGTGCCAGGGGGGAGTCTAAATCTCAGCCCACAGAGGTTTGCAGGAGATGGTTGACCCGAGCTCCTTGCATTTACATCTTTAACTTTCTCAGTTGTTCAGGACAACGTTAGAAACAGCGCACGGCTGTAATCTAAGCACTTGAGAGAGACAGACAGGAGGATCTGGACTTCAAGGCCAACCTGGGCTGTAGAGGGAATCTGCTGGGCAAACTCTGTCTTAAAAAAATAGAAAGATGAATAAAGGAAGAGACTAGGAAATTTTATCAGCCAAGACTACATAGTGAGACCCTGACTTAAAACCAAAACAGCCCACCCCTACATCCTCCCACTCCTGTGTCACAGCGAACACACACACACACACACACACACACACACACATACACACACACACACACACACACACCAACTTGTGCTTAATAAAAGGGCTTCGAAGGGTTAGCCTTGGCACCCTGAGCATCCTCCCATGAAGACGAGGGCACAGGGAAATAACGTTTTTGCCTACTTCTCCCAAACTGACCAAAGTGATTTGATTCCTTATCCACATCGTTTTAGCTGGGAAACTTTTATTTGAAAACCCTTCCGGTTAAAACAACCCAACAAACAGAAAAACCAAAATAACAAACACTCTGAAATGTGCTCTCCTGCTTCAGCTTCCCTCGGAGCTGAGCCCTGGGCATAAGCACTGTTAAGAGCCATTGGTGATAGCTGCACAGAAGAGAGTAACACTGAGTGAGCCGGACGCTGATGGTGATTCATACAAGATAACACTGACCCTCTCTGCAGCGGAGAGTTGTGCATTGTGGGAACTTCTTCCTTTCTACCCACTCCCCAGCCATCTTGGTAGCTGCTCTTGGTTTGGGGTTCCTAGGTGGGAGGATGGAGGCCACAAAGAAGATGAAGTCTCTGGATCGGGTCCAAGGATAGGGTACATGCAGGCTCTGAAGATGCTCAGACAGGGTGAAGGAAAATGCTGAATTGGGAAATCCTTTAGTGTGCACACTGGCTGTCGTTGATCCCAGTGATTCTGGTATTATTATAATAGTGGCATGCTAGAATAGACACAAGACCCAGGAAGAGGAAACCATGTGACAGTTTGCTTTAATAAATTGACCAGAGCCTGCTGAAAAAGCAAAACCAAATAAAAAGCTAATGGTGAGGGGTGCAGAGGGTAGGACACACTGGCAAACTTTACCCATCACCCTCTTCTCAGCCTCCTGTGGGTGACACCTATCCCAGCAGCCCTCAGGTAAGAACATCACCCTTTAGAGCAGTGATTCTCAACCTTCCTAGTGCTGTGACCCTTTGATACAGTTCCTTAGGTTGTGATGACCCACAACCATAAAATTATTTTCATTGCTATTTTGTAACTGTAACTTTGCTACTGCTCTGAATCATAATGTAAATATCTGTGTTTTCTGATGGTCTGAGGTGACCCCTGTGAAAGGGTCATTTGACACCCCCAAAGAGGTCTCGACTCAGGTTGAGAATGGCTGCGTTGGAGCCTACTGCCCAGTCAACAGAGCTTAGTCCACGCACTTTCCTGCAAAATACTTCTCTCAGGATGTGTAAGGGCTGCGGCATGGCATGCATAGGGCTCCAGGTCCAATCCTCAGCATCCCCAAAACAAACCTTGCAAAGGAGTATTGACTTAAAGACAATGTAGTGGTCCCCTATGGACTTGTGGTTTTGCTTTCCATGATTTCTGTTACATGTCTGAAAATACGAAATGGAAAATTCCAGAAACAGTTCATAATTGGCCCACTTGGGCCATCTTGGTGGGGGGGGCTGCTTGTTCTCTTAATAGTGGCCCCAAAGCCCATGTAGTGTTGCAGTCGATTTAAATTCACCAGAGAAAAGAAATGAAGCACTTCTTTTAAGCGATAAGACAAGTATTTTTGAGTATAGGAAGAAAGGAATTGAATGTTGCCGTTGATAAGATGTACAGTTGGGATGAACTGAACTCGGGCCAGGTGCTCTACCACTGGACTTTAGTCTCAGCCCCCGAGTGACTCTTCTCTCCATGCAGTCGTGAAGGAGGCAAACCAAATCAGTGCCTGTTTGGTATTACACCACAGACGGCAAGAGTTATGGCTACCATACATGATAAGTAACAGTCAAAATGGAAAAGACAGTATAAGTACATATAAGAGAAAACATACATGGGCTTTGGTACTGTCCACAGCTTCAGGTAGCCACTGGAGCCTTGGAATGTATCCTGCATGGTGGTGGTGGTGGTGGTGGTGGTGGTGGTGGTGGTGGTGGTGGTGGTGGTGTGATACATATAGATGGAAGTGATTTATTCACAGAGATCCAACTGCCTCTGCCTCCCAAGTGTTGGGATTAAAGGCGTGCGCCACCACCGTCCGGCTTATTTATTTATTTTTGAGACAAGTGTCGTATCATTCAAGCTGGCCTTGAGCTTCTCTGTAGGCAAGGTTGGCCAAGAACTCCTGGTCTCCCCCGATTCACCCCTAAGTACTAGGATCACAGGTGTGCGCCCTCATGCCTGCCTGACCGGGGAAAGATTTAATCACAGCCCATCTTTTTTTTCCCCCGCAGGTGTGAAGAATTTCTCCTCAAGTTCAAAGCATCTTGATGAAGATTTGGCTAAACTATTTGGTAAGTTGTCCTGTGGCTCCCAGGGCTGGATTTGAAGAAGTCACGTGCTGGTCCCTGGTTACTGTTCCTGGTGGTTTGGGCAGGAGAGAAGGCGAGCATTCTTCCACGTGGCTAAGAATCAGTTCCTCTAAGTGTCCAGGGGCCAAAAACGAAAGCAAATGGGGTGATCAACCAAACCTTGGGAACGTCTCTGCTTTTCGGATGGGGGCAGGGGGTGGAATCAGGCCCGCCATCTGGAAGTTCACTGAGGCGTGACCCACCTTAGCCCTCGGCATCGCGCCTGTCAGGATGATTTCTGCTTAGCAGAGAGTATGAGACCCCAGGCTGAGCTGGGAACCACCAGAGGGACGTTAAAGGGCACTTCTCCATGCCATCAGTATCAGATTCAGTGGAGGGGTATTTTTACAGCGCTAGGAGCCAAATCCAGAGCCTCATGCTTGTAGGCAGGTGCCTTACCACCGAGCCCCAGTCCTGTACAGTGTAGGTATCTGTTGTTTTTGTTTGGAGACAGGGTCTCATCATTGTTTAGCCCTGACCTGCCTCCCAGAGATCCATCTGTCCCTGCCCCCCAGTTGCTGGGACTAAAGGTATGGACCACCAGACCCAGCCAGTCGAGTTTTAAAGCCTTCTAGGAGACTCCAGGCTGAGAATTGCTGATGTACTACCAGCCCAGGGAGCAGAGGCTCAGGAGACTGTTCTGAACCACCGTGGTCTGCTGAGGGAGCAGAGGGGTGACAGAGACAGCCACCTTCTGCAGAGCAGAGAGTCTTGGTATGTTCTGTGGGTAGCCCTTCCTGGCAGGGCTCACTTCTTCCTCCTGAGGTCTGCCCAGCCTTGGCCTGGTGGTCTGCCTGCTTGCGCCCAGGTTTTTATTTTTGTTTTCCCTCCTCAGCTCAACTCTGGTTTTGCTGCTCTTTGTGAACATATCAGTATGTCTGGTCGTGTCTGGTCTACCCTCATACATGTCTAGGCGGCCCAGTGACACCATCCAAGAGTGCTTTCTTTCTCCTCTGTCTAAGTAGCTCAGTTTAGAGCCGGTTGCGTTGAGATCATCGGGACCTTCCCTGGCGATCGTGTCTCTTGGCCACAGGATGACTTCTGCAATTCTAGACATCACATCCAGACATCCTCCTTTCCAGGCAGGGGGAAGAAGAGATAGGGAAGTGCAAGCTCAGCATTTTTAAATTTTCTGTCCAAGCTGGGCAATGGAGGCACACCCCTTTAAACTCAGTACTCAGGAAGCAGAGATAGGCTGATCTCTGTGAGTTTGAGGCCAACCTGGTCTCCATAAGTGAGTTCTAGGACAACCAAGGGTGTATAGTGAGACCCTTTCTCAACCACCCTCCAAAATAAACAAACAAATAAATAAATAAAATATAAATAAATAAAATTTTCTATCTAGAGAAGCAATACTCTTCCTGGGTCAGTTGTCTTTTGGGGACCTCTGTGTGTTGTGCGGCCTTGACCTATCTGCCAGGGAGGGTGGGAAGGGAAGTTTCTTTGGGGGTGTTGCCTTTGAGGCTTCAACCACAGACTAGATGCAGGAGGAGGTGAGGGCATCTTGAGATGGAAAAGCATCGAGGCTATGACAGAGAACCCGGTCTTCCATCCTGTGTGAATGACACCTTTGTTTCCTGCGTGTCTCACCTTTTTTTCCCATTCTTACTCACATATTCCACAGAGCAGAGCACCGACCATGTCTCCAGCTGCTCTGGGGTTGATGCTAAATGAGCTGGTGGTGAGGTATTTGGCCCTGGGCACAAGCTTCACAATGACCCTGTGTTCAGTGCCCTACAGATACCCATTTCCATAAAAGCTCTCTGAGTTAGATCCTCCCACCCTACTGCCGAGGGCACCAAAGATCTAAGAGCTAGAGTTATTTGCCCAAGATCATGTTCTGGCAGGCATCAAACTGGGAATCGGGTCTGTGCCTGTTGGCCCCCACATTACAGCAGGCGTCCTAGCGTTAAATAAAGGAACAGGAGAATGGTATAATTGTTGGTTCATGGAGTCAGCTGGCATGTGTTTGCCCTCAGGAATGAGGCTCATTAGGAGAAAGGGGTTCCAGACATGAGAGAGTCTCGCCACAAGAGAGCGTCAGGAAGGAACCGTACAGCAGGTTAAAACCAGCACTTTAGGAGAAACTCCGCCTTACAACCTCCAGGGGCTTTAGGAAGAAGGTTCCTTAGTTATTTTTTAGTTGCTGTGATAAAAAACGGTGACCAAAAACTACTTAGGGAAAAAAAGGGTTTCTTTTGGCTTTTGGCTTCTGAGGAATCGAGTCGCTATAGGCAGAGAGGGCATAGGAGCAGGAAGCTGGCTGACCGCACTTGCGTCCACAAACAGGAAGGAGGGCATACACAGGCACACACACACACACACACACACACACACACACACACACACACACACACACACAGACAGACACACACAGACACGATTGACCAAAAAGTGGGGTGAGGCAATAAACTCTCAAAACCTGTCCCTAGTCATGTACTTCCTTTAGCAAGGCTCTACCTCCTAAAGCAGTGTTTCTCAACCTGCGACCCCTTTGGTAACTCTATCTCCAAAGATATTTACGTTATGATTCATGATGTAGCAAAAGTACGGTTATGAAATAGCAGTGAAAATAATTTTACAGTTGGGGGTCACCAGAACATGAGGAACTGTATTAAAGGGTTGCAGCATTAGGAAGGCTGAGAACCACTGTTTCTACAATCTTCCCAAAAAGGACCAAACTGAGGACCAAATGTTCAGACACACAAACCTATAGGAGGCGATGCTCACTTAAACCACAGCAGAGGGATAGCTTAAGAGAAAAAATGTCACCATGACAGGATGGTGGGGAGGCCCAGAGAAGAGAGTCTTTAGAGAAATCCCTTCAATAAAGAAATCTTGTTTTTATATCATTTCAGTGTGTGTGCGCATGTGTGGTAGGAAGTTCTAGCCATGTGATTTAGTCTTGGTAGAGCCTACATAACAGGAAATATGGAGGAGCCAGGTACTGAGTTGAACCATTCATTAGGAGCTGTAGAAACTATAGCACATCATGAGACAGGATAGCTTATTAACTTTTCATCCCAGGGTAGATCTGAGGAAGGTGGGGCTTGAGGGGATCGGCAGGGGGTGGCCTCTTTCTTCAGGTTGTGGGATCTGGCCCCTCAGAGTCACTAGCATCTTAAATGAGCTTGACCTAACACCAGGAGAGGCAATAAGGTCTCAAATGAAGAAATGATGTGTGTCTTGTGGAGATAAGAAACAGTTTTTGCTTGTACATGGTGTAGAATATTATTTTAAGATGTGTTACATTTGTTTATGCTGTGGAACAATTGTTTCATGATGCAAAGATGTGTTTCATTCTTTTATGTTGCATTTGTTTAACTCTGTGAAGCTGTGTTACTGTGCCTGTCTAAAACACCTGATGACCTAATAAAGCGCTGAACAGCCATTAGTGAGGCAGGAGAAAGGGTAGGTGGGGCTGGCAGGCAGAGAGGATAAATGGGAGGAGAAGAAGAAAGAGCAAGAGAACAAGGAGAGGAGGATGTTAGGGGCCAGCCACTCAGGCACACAGTCAGCCATGGAGTAAGATATACAGAAGAAAAGAAAACAACCCAGAGGCAAAAGGTAGGTGGGATAATTTAAGAAAAGCTGGCAAGAAACAAGCTGTAGATGTATCCAACCTTCCCATCAAACAATAAACACAGAACCAATGCAAAGAAGAAAGCCAAGAGGTCAGAGCCAAGAGCCAAAACCTTACCCTTCCTCCTGCAGTGGTCCTACCTCTCCGAACCAGAGCTACCCCTCTGTTAAAGTCTTTATATAGAGTTCCTGTCCTGCCTTCTCATTGGTTGTAAACCCAACCACATGACCGCCTCCTCACAGCCTGTCTGTATAGGCCTCCAGGTTTTCCATGATTGGTATTAAGATTAAAGGCATGTGTATCCAATAATGGCTGTATCCCTGAACACACAGAGACTTACCCAGCTCTGCCTACTAAGTGCTGGAATTACAAGCGTACGCTACCACTGCCCTGCTTTCCTATGGCTTGCTAATAGCTCTGACCCCCGGGCAACTTTATTTATTAACATACAAATAACATTTTAATACAAATAAAATATCACCATATTTCCCCTTTTCTATTTTAATAAAAAGGAAAAAAAAGAAAAAGCTTATAACTAATATAAGAAAAACTATATACAAAAGGACAATAACTATATACAATATATACAAGTAATAAATACCTAAACAATGTCTAGTCCATTTGTATTTGACAAATTCAGAGAAAATAATTTCATTATCTATCCTATTTTTGTAAGTCCAAAATGTATCCTAATTAATCTTCAACTATAACTAACTAACCTTCAACTATAACTAACTAATCTTCAACTCCCTCAGAGACCCAAGAAGGAAATAATATTAGCTAACAAAAATAAAAACAGGAAGTGCACATAAGCAACCTCCAAAAAATTTGTGAGTTGACAGAAACAGCCAGCTGTCTGGACAGTCACTTGAGGTTTCTCCGAAGTGCTGGGGCATCATCTTCAGCCTATAGGCCCAGCATATCCGACAGACTCATTTGTGAAGCAGGATGTACACAAGGTCAACAGTTCAACCTCACATTGAGTGAGAGTAGTCCATGTACCAGAAACACCTGAATTCCACCAGTGTCATGTCATGATTCAGGATTTCAAATTCTGGAAATTGATGATGGTTTTCCAACTCAGCTGTCCATTCTTCCTGGCTGTGTATATATATGGCTTCATCTCAGCATCCCATTCTTCTCCATATCCCTCCATCAAATGCCAGTCTACTATTGAGAGGCGTGAGCTTAGTTACTCTTCAAGAATAACTGTTTCAGCTGCTGTTCCATTGCACATCAGAGGCCATCGGCCCACTGCCTGTTCAGCTGCCTTCGAAGAAAAGGGCACTGTACCTTTTTCGAATTGTGAAGGCCACTTCAGGGATGGTGCCATATTGTCCTGGCCTCTGAAGATGCCTTT